AACTTGACCAGATCGGCAGTTACTTTAGAATGGTCCTCCACCTTGAGCACGAAACGCGCGGGGAGTTGCTCTGGTAAATTTTCTTCGCCTTGTTTCCACCAATTCAGTTGACACTGAGTCACCAGTAACCATTTAAACGCAAAAGGGTCCACATGCGCCACGGCCGCCAGAATGGCCAGAGTTTCGCGGATTTTGACCAGCTCGAGCTGATACGTGGCATCGTGTTGCAGCTGCGGCCGCAGATAGTCATTGCGCTTGGGCAGCGTCACTTGGAGAGCGCGGGTCTTGCTCTCCCAGACTTCCTTGCCCGTTCCCTCGCACTTGAAGCCCGTGTAGTGCACATTACGCTGCAGAACTTGGCACCACGGGGCCAGGAACCCCCAGCGCTGCGCCACGTCAGACTTGTCCATTGATTTCTGCGCTCCTGCTCTCTTTGCGAACTGACGACTGATGCGGCTGACCAGATGACAACCATGTGGGCAATTTTGGCGAATCAAAAATGGGATGGGGGAGCGATAGTGAACCCAAGTCAGCATGTCGCAAGGAGGAGTGATGGCTTAACTTCAAGTTAGAGTGAAGCTCTGTAGCCAAGTCCAAGCTAAATTTTTTTTTACTTGCTGCTTCGCCGTAGACCAAAACAAAGAGCCAAAATGAGGCTCCTCGTTCGTCTGTACATCCCTGGTTCAAATTTTCTCCTCAGTTACAAAAAAGAATGGCCACGCATCGACATGCCATCAAATTATAAAATCAAAACAAGATATTTCCATTACGGACCCCCGCTCAGCATATCGTAGATTCAACTTACGCTACGATATGGCTTAGTTCGCCTCAAGTCCCTTAAAAGCGGCCATGAATAAGAAAATAAGCCCGACGACGAATACAACTGGGACGCCGTAAGTTACCCATAACTGCATAAGTGGTTTCATCGGCCCGATTGTGATCACGATATATCCGACACTCGTGACTTGCCTCGATGTGAGCTGCCTGGCTTTTCGTCTTAGCCGCGCCGCCAGGTGTTTTAGTTCAGGGCTATTCTTGATATTCTGCAAGAAACCGGAAGATTTCTCCACTTTCGTGAACTGGCCATTAACTCTCTAGTATCGCAGCCGTCAAGTGAAGTACGGCGTGCAGGGCAACCTTCATCGCTGTGGTTGGTCATGAAACCATTTCCATCTAACAATAGTGGCCGGAGATATTCTTGTGTCCTACGCATTTCGTGGCGCTGTGATCTTCGGGTTCTTGAGTGCCGAGGCTAGCTCCGGATTATTAATCAGTGTTGTACTAGCGCTTGGAGTCGGGGAGAAAAACGACTTGAGTCTATTGAAAGTAGGCATCTTGAATTTCAGCCCTCTCGCTGCGGTAGCTGGGTCGGATTTTTCTTCAGTTATCAGGTCATGATGAGCGTCATACATGCCCAGTTCCTCACGGTCTACCTTGGCTGTGTTCTCAGCGACGATGACACTCGTAACACCAGGAGCACCCACAAGCTGTGCTGGCTTATTAATAAATAGTCAAATATGTCGACATTGTGCGCACATGAAGCCGATATCTGTTCGGGCTAGAGGGGATTAATAAGATAAAAATCTTCCATTACCAGTAGACTAAAGGTCCGAAAGACGTGACCCACATACGTTTGGCAGAACTACGGCAGGCGACCAACTATCGAATTAATTCTCGGGGTGTCCGTACCCCCCAAAATAAGTCTGCCCCATTCAACCGTACTTTTTGAATACGATTTTTTTCAGGTCCAAATCGTTAACCTAACAAGGGAAGGAGTATCATGCAGATGCCTGTAGGTAGATATACCTCATCTACATAAAAAATCTTTACTACAGAAACACATTCAACTTCTAGCATCACAAATCGTTGTGTTTTCACTTGGTGGAACCAGCTCCCATGTCTTTCCAGAACTTCTGTCTCTCCTCCACAGTCAGATACTTCAGCATATCAGCCATCATGTCCTTGTCAGTCGCAGCTCCTAGCTCCAGTGGATTGTTTGCTCCTTGCAGGCGTAGCTCCGGATCGTAGCACCAACTCATGTAGAGAGTCAGCGACGTTCGATACAGAGGACTGGGCATACTCAGATCCATTGTACCCATCTGCAGTCCACTGTTCGAAGGTGTACACGACGCTCCCAGTCGAAATGCTGCCATCCCCGTCAGCTCTCCAGTCTTCATGTAATGATCGATCCAGTGCTGCTTGTACACGTGAGCGAGAACATAACCTGTAGCATTGAGCGGGTGTTCACGGAAGGGCAGAGTCACCAATTTATCTAACCCCATCATCTTGAATAATTCCATCGACGATGGGACAGCTGATGGTCCTGAACTGGTCGAGAAACACAGAGCAGTGTCCAGCGTAGTGTCGATTACTTGCTTGCAGTATTTCGGATCGTAGTCGATAATCGAAGCACCGTACACTTGGGTAGGCCAGTTCATACTGTAGCCATAGTGCATGCAGTCGCCATACATCGAACATCGACGTGCGAGGTCGTGGAAATCGTCGGGTAAGAAATAATCTAGAACATTGGACCACGAGATAGTATACGGATGCAACATGGCGATACGAGC